ATTGTTTAAAGTTTATTCTACTATTCTAAATTTTATTCTAGTTTCTTCTACTCATTATGTGTACCTACAGGTCGGGGTGTTTTCAGCTGCCGGTGCTTTCAAAAAGCAGATTTCCTTATTGAGTACAGAGAAATCACAAGTAGAAAGGAACAAGAAAACCGACTGAAAGTTTACCATGATACACTCGAGGTTCTTATGTTTGATTTCAACTTCAATGGACAAAAGCTTTGGTATGTGACTGTTTTAATGTTATTGTTTTGTTTAAATTTTATATCTAAGCACAGTGATGTAAATACTTTTAGTTTTATCAGTAAAAGTAGTTTTAGTTGGTGGAGGAATATTCTTCTGACATGCAAACACCAAATATGCAAAATCCTTTCCCTTGCATGGTATAATTATTCTTATTTTCATACTTAATATTTTAGTGTTGATGATGCCAGAGAGGATGGATGATTGGGGAGGCTGGTAAATGATCAGATGAACCCAAACAGCAAAATGAAAGTTAAAAGAGTGGATGGAAGACCTCATCTGTTTATTTGCACTCAAATATATTGGTCCAGGGGAAGAAATCACTTATAATTATGGTGATTTTGACTGGCCATGGAGAAGAAAGGTGCTTATAAGTGTGAAAATACTATCAAAAATCATTCAAGTAGCACTGAAGACATATTTGAAGGATATGTCAAGTTATAGTACAGGGTTTCATTATAGTTGAAAACAAGAAGTGGACAGGCACATACAGTAGGTGGAAGTATGGACTAAGTATTGAGAAGTATGGACTCATTCAGTGTACATCCCTTCATTTCAGATTTCCAAAGATGAACTGTCAGGTTGGTGATGTGGACGCATGCGGATCCTGTTCAACCAACCCTCCAGAGGTAATTTTGGTCTCCAACGACCAACTTACTCTCTAAAATAAAGTAATTGAAATGATATTAAGTATTGTTCAAACACACATGTGTTGTGTAATACTCAAAATGTAAGGTGCAGGAATAAGGAGGACTGAGTTTTGAAATTACAAGTACAGAAGAATGAAAGTTACATTGAGAAGCACGCATACACACAGGTCCTGTGTAATACTCAAAATGTAAGGTGCAGGAATAGGGAGGACTGTTTTCTATATTGGGAACAAACATTTAGTGAGTGTTCTTTACATTTCAGATTTCCAAAGATGAACTGTGTCAGGCTGGTGACATGGATGCATGTGGATTCTGTTCAACCAACCCTCCTGAGGTAATTTTGGTCTCCAATGACCAACTTACTCTCTAAAATAAAGTAATTGAAATGATATTAAGTATTGTTCAAACACACATGTGTTGTGTAATATTAGATATGTTAGCTGCATAAAAAGGGAGGACTGCGTTTTGAAATTACAAGTATAGAAGAATGAAAATTACATTTAGAAGTGCACATTTTGGTCTCCAACGACCAACTTTTTCTCTAAAATAAAGTAATTGAAAAGATGTGAAGTACTGTTCAAACACACATGTGTTGTGTAATCCGACATATGTTGGCTGCATAAAAGTGGAGGACTGGCTTTTGAAATTACAAGTATAGAAGACTGAAAGTTACATTGAGAAGCGCACATACACACAGGTCCTGTGTAATACTCAAAATGTAAGG